GGTTGGGAGACGGAGAGCAAAGCCGCGGAGCACGCCCGCAGGGGGACAGCTCAAGCGCGCCCGGGCTGTCCCGCTGCGGGTGTGCTCCAAGGCTTTGCTCCCCGTCTCCCTGCAGACCAGGCGGCGGCTTTGCTCGGGTGTCCCTGGTCTGCTGGGGGGGTCCAGCAGCTTTGCTGGATCCCCCCAGCAGACCAGGGAGACCGGGAGAAGCTTTTCTCGCCCCGGAGGACACGGGTGGCGACCCGCCGCCTGTGAGTTCCGGGGTGAGAAAAGCCCCGTTCGTAAGTGCGGATCCGATGTAAGTCGGATCCGCGTAAGTCGGGGACTGCCTGTATTCTATCATAATAGTTTAAATCCCAATAGCACAGAGCAGTGATTTGAATCATTATAATAGTCTGCTGTGGTATTTTTTTAAGCTGGATACCAATATAAAGATGTATATGGTTTGTTTATCTGGACATAAAATGTATGGCTAGATTAAGTCATAAAGAACACATTAAAATAATTTTAGGATGTAGTACCTAGAAAACCTCAAATGCTAGTATATGAAATGTGCCCCTTCAGAAGGAAAAGAGACAGAGAAAGGGAAACATAAAAAAGGCCACACTACAGTAAACAATCTGTCCATTTCTTGCACTGAAAAAATCCACTCAAGGCTATGGAAAATCCTGAAAAATTGATTTCTGCTATCTTGGGTCGTGGGCCAATTGAATGGATTTTTAATAACTGCACTATATACATCACTGTATTTGCAAGTCATTATTATGCTATTACATAGAAATCCCACTCTTATGCTGTGTTTAATTTAACTATTATTAGACAATTAAAAGTTGTCATGTTCAGAATTCAATAATTCAGAATTAGTGTCTACAGTACCTCAGATATGGAAAAGGTTTTAAGATAAACACAATAAAATAATAATGATTTCTTACTTATTTTCCACCTATCACATAAAATGTAAAATTCTGGAACCAGACCCTCAGCTGATATAAACTGGTGTATATCCATCAAAGTCAACTGAGCAAAGTAGATTTATACCGGTTGAGGATATGGCCCACAGTGTAAAAAACCAGATCATTCAACATAGGTTCAATTTAAAGGTAATTTAAAAAAAAAAATCTAAAACGTTTCTATGAAGTTAATTTTACAAATCTAGTTTTACATTTATTAAACAGATTAAACATGAATGGTATATTAAATAAATTATTAAATATCAAGAGTATATGATAAAATATTTAAAGCTACTATTAATGCTTATGATATAGTATGTGATATTGACTAGTCCCAGTGATAATTAAGATTTCCATTTATCAATGATATTATAAATGATCATAATACGGAAGCAATTAGACAATCTGCAAAATCTGCCAATGTGACTGTACTCATTTGTTGTAAAATTGACTTTTTGTTGTGTATCATATTTTTTACACTACATTAAAATTATTTTGGTTTTTTTAAAGGCTCACACTGTGCAGTCACTTTGTAAAGAGTATATTATCACCAGTACTAATGGATTTATTGATTAGAAATTGGAAAGGGGGATCAAAGGTAAGTAGCCATGAAGGTGAAGTTAGTTAACTAAATTCTACTATGAAAGAGGGAATACCAGTGGGGATCACCAAAACTCACCACTGTAAAAATCAGTGTCACTCAAATTAGCAGATATAGTTTCATTCAATGAATCCACTGAAATAAACAGAATATCATGAAGAATGCATATAAGTGGGGTAAATCAGAGTACTGGGTATTAAACATGAATCTTTATCGCCATGTTTGATTTAACAGTAAAAGCTGAGGGCAATATGTTCTTGCACATGTCTGCTGATTAATTCATTTGAATAATCATGATTGTTATAAACTGGTGTATGCATGTAGAATTGCCAATTTAAAATCAATACTTATCACACTGTAATTTTTAAATAAATAAAACAAAATATAGTTACAAAATATAGGTGATCTGAATGAGAAATATTGAAAAGGAAACATTATATATTTAATGTAAAAATTTAAAGGTGAACCTAGATAGCGAAACAACATGTATTATTTAGGACAGCTCATGTTTTTTAAAATACTTACAAAGAAAACTGGGCATTATTATTTACAAGTTGTATACAATTATTTCTTATTTATTATGATGAAAATAATATTTATGATGAAGGTAATATTTCTCTCACATAAAACCACTTAATTGTAGGTCAGTAAGTGAAAAATCTAGATAAATACAATGTACTTGTATAATTAAGAAAAGTACTGCTTACTTGAAAAAACCTTCACAGAAATAGGTTGCTTCTGTTGTATAGTCTGAGTGTGATTAAATCTTGCATAACAAATATAGTCCTCACGGGTGTCCTGTGGTTTTACATTGGAAAAATAAAGGTCTCCATTCAGACCTTGGGAAACTCTTTCATTTTGAGGCAGTCTTTGGAAAGCTAAGTAAAAATAAGGACACATTTATTTTAATTATAATACATACAGACATATGTGATCTGCGATCTCACGTGAGACCTACCTTTGCCTTTTATAATTGCTCATCCCTTTCTAAGTGCTCTCAGTTGTGTCCCTATCTCTCCTCAAAAATGCATGAGCAAATATAAAACCACAAGAGACAGGCAGACAGCACCAATGGTCTTTACACACACTGCTCATGAGCAGCCTCTCTGCTGGCCTAGCCCTACCTGATGTGGAAATGTGCAGCAGCCTTACTCAAGGAGACTGGATTTTATCCTCACTGAGACACTACACTGTCTGCTGTAATATTTCATAGAATCATAGAATCATAGAATAATAGGACTGGAAGGGACCTCAAGAGGTCATTGAGTCCAGCCCCCCGCCCTCAAGGCAGGACCAAGCTCCACCTACACCATCCCTGACAGATGTCTATCTAACCTGTTCTTAAATATCTCCAGAGAGGGAGATTCCACCACCTCCCTTGGCAATTTATTCCAATATTTGACCACCCTGACAGTTAGGAATTTTTTCCTAATGTCCAATCGAAATCTCCCCTGCTTCACTTTAAGCCCATTACTCCTTGTCCTGTCCTCAGAAACCAAGAGAAACAAATTTTCTCCTTCCTCCTTGTGACACCCTTTTAGATATTTGAAAACCGCTATCATGTCCCCCCTTAATCTTCTTTTTTCCAAACTAAACAAGCCCAGTTCATGAAGCCTGGCTTCATAGGTCATGTTCTCTAAACCTTTAATCATCCTTGTCGCTCTTCTCTGTACCCTTTCCAATTTCTCCACATCTTTCTTGAAATGTGGCGCCCAGAACTGGACACAGTACTCCAGCTGAGGCCTAACTAGTGCAGAATAGAGCGGCAGAATGACTTCACGAGTTTTGCTTACAACACACCTGTTAATACAACCTAGAATCATATTTGCTTTTTTTGCAACAGCATCACACTGTTGACTCATATTCAACTTGTGGTCCACTATGACCCCTAGATCCCTTTCCGCCATGCTCCTTCCTAGACAGTCGCTTCCCATCTTGTATGTATGGAACTGATTGTTCCTTCCTAAGTGGAGCACTCTGCATTTCTCCTTATTAAACCTCATCCTGTTTACCTCTGACCATTTCTCTAACTTGCTAAGGTCATTCTGAATTATGTCCCTATCCTCCAAAGAAGTTGCAACCCCACCCAGTTTGGTATCATCTGCAAACTTAATAAGAGTACTCTCTATCCCAATATCTACATCATTGATGAAGATATTGAACAGTACGGGTCCCAAAACAGACCCTTGAGGAACTCCACTTGTTATCCCTTTCCAGCAGGATTTAGAACCGTTAACAACAACTCTCTGACTACGGTTATCCAGCCAATTATGCACCCACCTTATCGTGGCCCTATCTAAGTTATATTTGCCTAGTTTATCAATAAGAATATCATGCGAGACCGTATCAAATGCCTTACTAAAGTCTAGGTATATGACATCCACCGCTTCTCCCTTATCCACAAGGCTCGTTATCCTATCAAAGAAAGCTATCAGATTAGTTTGGCATGACTTGTTCTTCACAAACCCATGCTGGCTATTCCCTATCACTTTATTACCTTCCAAGTGTTTGCATATGATTTCCTTAATTACCTGCTCCATTATCTTCCCTGGGACAGACGTTAAACTGACCGGTCTATAATTTCCTGGGTTGTTCTTATTCCCCTTTTTATAGATGGGCACAATATTTGCCCTTTTCCAGTCTTCTGGAATCTCCCCTGTCTGCCATGATTTTTCAAAGATCATAGCTAAAGGCTCAGATACCTCCTCTATCAGCTCCTTGAGTATCCTGGGATGCATTTCATCAGGACCTGGTGACTTGCTGACATCTAACTTTCCTAAGTGATTTTTAACTTGTTCTTTGTGTATCCTATCTTCTAAACTTACCCTCTCTCTGCTTGTATTCACTACGTTAGGCACACCTCCAGACTTCTCGGTGAAGACCGAAACAAAGAAGTCATTGAGCATCTCCGCCATTTCCAAGTTCCCTGTTACTGCTTCTCCCTCCTCACTAAGCAGTGGGCCTACCCTGTCCTTGGTCTTCCTCTTGCTTTTAATGTATTTATAAAAGGTCTTCTTGTTTCCCTTTATGCCTGTAGCTAGTTTGATCATAAGTAATGGCAAATTATTCAGAACAGTAATAAAATTGTCAAGAAATGTGTTCTTTATTCAGATATAATAAAAACTTACAATTATCCATCCAAAATATTATAGGTGGTGGTAAGCCAACTGGAGGGCTGCATTGCAGTACTAGGGGATCACCTTCTCGGACATGTTTTGGTTCTATTTTTTCTTTAGTCCACAAGGGGGATCCTGTGGAAAATAATTTTTACATTTACATAAATTTTGGTTTGATAAAGTTCTTATGAAAGAACTATATGTGTAACATAACTTAAAAGGAAATGTCTTTGACATTTACTATACACAGATTATAACTTCTACTTCTGAACAGTTGTTTCCTTTGGGAAAAAAGGGTTCATTATATTATTGTTTATATATTTTAGAGAATCACTGCTTGAATGTAAATAATTAAACAGAAAGGGGTTCTTGTGGGTAATCACTAACATTTGACAAGTTTGATTCTGGATAATGTAGAAAAGCAATGTATACAATTAGAAAAATCAAAGTGAGTCTGTTCGAAAATGGAATGGCATGTGGAGAGATTTAACAAAGACTATAGTAAAAAGAAGAGCAGCTCAAGAAACTACATTTGAGCTCAAGAGCAGTGATGGTTGAAACAAGCTAATATAATAGCACAGTAAATGTTAAGATTTGGGGACAGGAATGTGTTTGTCTCAATATTTCCATGTTAGGACTTTATTTAAAAAAAACCTAATTGCTTTGAAAAAATAGATTTAAAAAAAAACTCCACATCAAAGAAATATGTTAAAGATTTAAAATTCTTTTTTCTAATTGTAATGTTTTATACACTGCCCAATTTTAAACATGACAAATGAGTCAGACATACTGAATACCAGGAAAACATTGGGTTTTAACTTACTAAGGAACTTTGGAGAAAATTGGCAGCTTTTCATGCAGTACAGCACTAAACCAGAGTATCAGAAACCGTACAATTACCTTCTAACAAGATCGCTTTGATGATTAAAAAGATGTCTTTTTTTATGAAAGGAAAAAAGAAAATAATTAAACCAAAAATTTCACAGCAAAATGAGTAAGTACAAATATTTCAGTTAGGATTAATGTCAAAGTTACACTTACTAGATGATCGGATAACAATGTTATTGGAAATTGCTGCTCCACGTTCATTCTTTGCTGTACACTGATATATGCCTTCATATGCTTCTGCTTTTCCACCATTCATAATGTTTATTACAAGGGTTCCTGAGTTTGGTTTCACTGTTACCCGTGCATCTTTATCTATATCAAAATGAGTTCCATTACGAGTCCATGAGAAACTAGAATAATAAACACAAGAATAGATTATTAAAGATTTTGAAAAAACAAGAAAAATAACTAGAAAATCTCTTCTAAATAGCATGTAGATGTATGTCCGTAACATAAATAAGAAGAATATTTTTGAATGATTTAACTAGAAAATGAGTAATAAACACATATGGTTTGAGACAAAAGACCTGGCTAGATTAGTTAATAGATGCCATTTTTAAGGTCAGCATTTTTATTATATGTTATTTATACTATTACAATTAGAAATTATTATTTATAATATGTATATTATAATAAGGATTATAACAAAGACTGCAATGCTAATCACAGAGAAAAAATTGTTTCATTTTCCACTAAAGCTGATACAGTTAGGTCTGCTAGAATTGATATTGTTAAAAATAGATTAGCATTTCCATTATAAAGCCCATTATTCAAAGGGTTTACAATGGGCCTTTAAGAATTTGCTCTGGGCTAAAATGCGTCATGTAAGATCTCAGCAGGAGATTTTTTAAGTTCCCAGAGTGAATAAAAAGGTAATATTGTGGGACTGATTGTTTTTCACCATTCTAATGCAAACAGTTGTGATTCTACAAATTAAATGTTGCATTCTGCTAGGAAATAACAAATCTCTTAGGTTCTTTTCAGTCTCTCTCAAAACACTAAAAAAAAATAGATCCATAGTATGCCAATCCTACTGCTCTAAAAATGCATTCATAAATACATACTTTCTTACTTCCAAAATACATTGATATAATTCTAGGATCATGTCTATATGGCCTTATCTCATGAGGTTCTGAGCACATACGATCCCTAGTGTAGTCAGTGCGTGTGGCTAATACTCAAAGGTCAGACCTTTAAACGAAAGTCAACCATACACTGCACATTTATATTTGATTACTAGTGAGATTGTTACATATAAATCTAAACACATGCAGTACAAGTGAAATTCAACAAACTCAGGAAGGTTCACACAGCTTCAATTGTGGTATGTCCTCCTACAGTTTGATGGAAAAGGAGAGTTTCTGTAATCTATGAGCATCACAAGTAGAAGGCAGATGGAGCTCAATTTTACCTTCAGATAGATAGGTGTGGAAGGCGCAACATAGGTGCTTGAACTTGGGATAACAAGATCTAAAAGTATGAGCTCAAGCTAGAAAGACAGGTTAGCTACAGGCAGTAGCACACTCAGAAGCCTCCATCTATGGTTTAGTCAATAGCAGGTGACAAAGAGGCACACTTTGCATTAACATGTGTTACACTCTCTCCCTAACTGAGAAAGTTCACAGCTAAATACAGAGATCCATAGCCATGCTCATTCCCACTTGTGGCTGCAGGGATCTAATCCAGAACCACTTGATCTAAAAGGTGAACCTCTGCTGTTTGACCTAATGGATCAAGTCAATTAGCTCAATCAAAAAAAATTGGTCACATGGTGCCTATGAAAATATAACTAAGCTCAGGTTGCCCCCTCCCCACCTTTGGAAAATGCACTTCACAAACTACAATAAACATTAAAAATTCATCATCTCACTTAACACAGAGTTTTTAGAGAATGTCATTACCTCTGTTAAAATAAGAAATCCTGGTGCTGTATTAATTCTAGACATGCAACTGCACCTCTACAACAGGGATGACATTAAAAACATCTGACTTTAAAAACAATGAGCGCACAACAGAGAAAATCACTTGGCTCTCAATTCTGGTGTCCAGATTACAGCTGCTCCCAGTCGTCAGAAGGAACAACTGCGTGAAAAGTCCTGCTGACCCATGGGTTGGAGTATGCTCAATGAGCTCTGTGGCACTAGGTTATACTATGTAAGTGGAGCATGCTCAGTACACAAAATGTTTGGTAAATTTTACTCCTAACCTCTATCAAATTTCTGCTACACGTGTACAAATGGCAATTTTCAGAGGTTTATAATTTGAACAAATTTAGGTGAATTTTCATGAGGACACCAAACAGAACCCTTTCTTTGATCCCAGAGTTACATAATGGAATATTTTCAAGATCTCTCTCTAAAAACTGGAGGGAATTATAACTTCTCAACAAAAGTTGTTAGTTTTTTTAACTTTGGTGAAACAATGTATTTTTGCCTAACCTCATTTTAGAAAATAGCTGAACTCTTTCTACTGAAATTTCAGCCAGAATGATTAAAAATGGGCAAAGTTATAAGCAACTGAAAACTGGGTTTTATAATGGATTTTATTGGGAAACTAACTATAGGGATCACCATCACTTCTGTCTCTAACATAAATATGAGTAATATGAAAGCTATAAAATAAACCTAGAAAATCAAGGACACTCAAGTTAACCTGACTCAATGCCTTTGCTCACTGCATTTTCCATTGTTATTTCAAACTTTTGTTTGTAAAAGTGAACAATTTAGAAATTATGGACTACAGGCAGTCCCCGGGTTACGTACAAGATAGGGACTGTAGGTTTGTACTTAATTCAAATTTGTACTTAAGTCGGAACTGGTGTCCAGATTCAGCCGCTGCTGAATCTGGACACCTGGGACAGAGCAGCTGGGGCGCTGCCGTGTAGGTCTCCGCAGCGCTGCACCTCAGCACTGCAGGGACCAACCCAGCAGCGCCCCAGCTGCTCTACCCCAGGTGTCATCGGCGAGAAAAGCCCGGTCTGCTGGGGAGGGAGGGGGGGCCAACCAGGCATTATTTATTATTTGTATTACCCTAATCTGGCTCTCTGTCTTTTGTGAGAGGGAGGGATTGTTCATCTTGTTGCCTGATCTTTTTGAAAGCATATATTATGGCAAGGAATTCCTAGCAATGGGACTTCTCTTTGTGGTGGATCATATCTTTGCTTTATTAGAAGTCTGAAGCTATGGTAAGAGTAATAACAATTTTGTGACAGGAAGTTGCAGAAGATGTGTTCACTATTAATTATAACTCATTAATCTGTCAGAGATTCAGCATAACAGCTGATTGGTGAGTACTTAACTTTAATTGTCATACCAAATCTGCAACACAGTAACTAGTTATGACTAATGCCAATCATCTTTGAGAACATGCTTCTCTGTACAGCCTATCCTTAGGGCATTCATCACAACAGTACTTTAGAGATACAGGCAGTCCCCGACTTACGTGGATCCGACTTACGTTGGATCCGTAGTTACGAACGGGGCTGTTCTCGCCCCGGAGGACGCAGGCGGCGGGAGCGCCCAGATGCGCCGCGGTCCCGCCCAGCAGACCAGGGAGATGCGGAGCAGTTTTTCTCGCCCCAGAGGATGCGGGTGGCGGGACCTCGGCGCGTCTGGGCGGTCCCGCCGCTCGTGTCCTCCGGGGCGAGAAAAGCCCCGTTCGTAAGTACAGATCCGACATAAGTCGGATCCGCGTAACTCGGGGACTGCCTGTATATCAATCAAGCAAAGAATGATGCAGGCTGTGCATTAATTTGAGACCCTGCCACCCCCTCTTTCAGCCTTGTGCTCAGAAACCAGCTGCATTTTAGGAATTCCACCATGCCATCCAAGGGCTGAAAGTGATAAAACCTGTGCTTTGGTATGCCTTGTAATGCTTCCTGCGTAAAGCTGCGTATCCCTTCAAAGTAATGATCACTTTTGTTGATTGTCCTACAGAAAACTTTTAAGAGGACATTTCAAAATTTAATGCTATGCATTTTTAGAATGTAAACTGGATATTGTTCAGTTCAGTGGCCTCAGGACTTCTATGTGAAGGGCTCACTTAATGCTATTATTATTATGATTACAAAAATAACAAGGACAGTAAGCATAAGCCCTGATTTGTTGTCATTAATTTACATTAAAGCTGTGTGCTAGTCTAGAAAATTACTTCATTTCCTCTGAGTTTTCATATTTGTTATTCTAGATTTTCCACAGTATTTCTGTTAACAGCAAACAATAAAATAAAATAAAATAAAATAAAATAAAATAAAATAAAATAAAATAAAATTACTAACCTAGGAGGTGGCTTTCCTTTTGCTTCACACTGTATTACAATATTCTCTCGTGGGTCAACAATGTAGTTTTTTGGAGACTGATGAGTTATTGTTGGAGGCTGTGATACTTAATTGTAGAACATAATTAAGAAATATTAAGAAACAATGATATTTTCAAGTTACCAACACACCAGTTTTATAGGAAGAAAAGACAAAACGAGCAAGAAAACACCTGTATTAAAGTATCCTTTGCATTCAAAAGGCAGGGTGCTCTACTGTTGTAAATCCGGTTAGCTATATTCACTTTAATGAAGTTGTGCAGATTTACCACAAATGAAGACCTTTCCCAAATCATTTTAATGGATATTTTAATATACTACAGATCTCATTCAATATTTGTGAAGCCAAAGGACACCTGAATCCGTAATGCCAACAACTATTTCAAAACAAACAAATAAGAGCCCAAACATAAAAAGAGCCTCTGTTCAGTGTACTCAAACCAATCAAAAGCGATGTACATTATTTTCAGTTTATAAGCACTGAGGATGTGTTTCAGACACTCCAAGTAGGAGTCCACTCCACATTAAATTTCAGAGGTATCATGGCTAATTTATACTTGAGGTATTATTTAATGACAGCTACATTTCAGGAGTAAAATAATTTTTGCATATATTTGTACCTCAAAGTTTGGCTATTCCTTAAGTGTTGAAAAAATAAGTATATCCACTGAGGAGGGAATGAAACAGATATTGAGAGAATTAGGAATATGGATGTATTAAAAATAGCAGTTGGGAAAATTTCTTTTTATTCTCTTAGGGTACATTTAGACTATGCGCTTCTTTTGATAGAAGCTTTTTCGAAATAATATTTCGAAAAAGCTTCTTTCGAAAGAGATCATTGAGACAGCCACCACTTTTTTCAAAAAAGCGATCTGCTTTTTCGAAAGAGAGCACCCATGCAATATGGATGCTCTTTTTCGAAAAAGCCCTGTTTGCCTTCAAGAACACCTTTTTTCAAAAGAGTTCTTTCGAAAAAGGCTTTCCTCCTTGTAAAATGAGGTTTACTGCCATTGAAAAAACTGCTGCATTCTTTCGATTTAATTTCAAAAGAACGCAGTGGCAGTCTAAATGCAAGTGACTTTTTTTTGAAAAAAAAAGCCACTTTTTTCGAAAAAACCCTATAGTCTAGACATGGCCTTAGTATTGAAGAAACTAAAACTGATTTTGCATTTTCTACCTTTTTCATAAAATAAGGAACAGCCATTTTGCTGAATTGTCCAAGGATGAACAAGAAATTTCAGGGTCAGTGAAGTGCTCAAGACTGATTGGCATGGCTTGAAAATCATTCCCCAGGTGAAGGAATTGGTGCCAATTTATGTAATTTTCAATCATTTACCACTGACTGGACCTCTCTTTGCACAGAATGGAATGCAAAATTTCATGACCAAAAAAAAAAGAGTTGCAGACAGTGCCAATCAATGTCTCACTGCATATCTCATTTTCAATCTGTTTTGCACTACAGTGGCAGTCAGCGTACCATTACAGTAGTTCAGAGTTCTATCGCTGAATATGTTCAGCTTAAATAAAGTCCATGATATCTCTCGGGCTGTGATTTTCCTCACATATTCTGCTTTCTTCCCCAAATAAATTCCTCTGAAAAAAATAAATTATTGTGCACAAATGCATCTACTCCTCAGACTACAATTAATCACTGAACTATCTGAACTAATATGTCCGGGTATCGTCATGAACCCCTCAGATGGGTAAAAAATATCATTGACAAAAACATTCACCATAAAGTTTCTCTGGGACCACTTCCTGGTGTAAGGATTGTAGCGCTGTGGCCTCAGATCATGCTAACTATGCTGCAGGGAGTTGTAAAACAACTAGGCATGGTTTTCCAGCTGGTTAGTACCTCAAAATTAGAAGAACTCTTAGGAAAAAATGGTCCTGATCCTATCTACGGGAGTTGAGAGTGCTCAGCTTCTCACAATAATTTATCAAGTACTGGCTCTTAACTACCACACTGATAGGAAGAAACCAAAATTCTCAGAGCAGAACTTGGGCCAATCTTTTTCCGCAAATTTTGGAAACTTTCATTGACTAATTACAAATGCACATTTCTCTATTTGACTAGCTAATACATATCTTGAAAAGAGAAAGAGAAATGATTTCACAAAGGGACTAACCATTCCAGGAGATACTTCCCAGTGGGCTACAGTGGGAGTTGCACATACCCATCTCCTGAAATAAAAAGGTACCAGATCTTTTCAGTATCAATGAAAAAAATGACTATTTAGCCTTTACAAATTCACTGTATCTTGCATTTAGTTAGGCTTCACAGGTTTCTGACCTGACTAAGCAAATGACTAGCAAGAGCAATTTAATGAGAAAACATAACTAAATGTTACAGAAATCTTGATTAGCATCCTCATGCAAATGCTATAAATTTTGCCAGCTAGTAAATGGGTATTGCCCAATCTGCTTTAGACATAGCCAGATGCAAAATTTGCATCCCTAGTTCAGGACCATCTCCTTCCCAATAACTAGGTGTGTTGGGATATCAGATTGGCCCATTAAAGAAAAAATTCAGCTATAAAGCTGAGTTTTATATTATGGGTATTTCCTATCCTCAAATTTCCAATGAGCTTACTGCTGTGCAGAACCAAGTGGTAGTCTTAAAGGCACTATACATAGGGAATGGTGGAACAGCCAGGGGGACATGTTCAAATACCATTGTATAATACCCAAAAAGAACAGAACAAATCCTGCAGGGTTCGCATTTCCTTTCCTCACTGCAGACAGGAAAGTGACTGCGAGGTTATTTTCCCAGGATAATAACTTCTTCAAATGTTCCTGTGGAGGAGCAATCAGAGGCTAATTCTTTTTCCCTCTGTGGAACAGTTTTCAGGACCAGAACAACCAGGCTATGTCTACATTGGCAAGATTTTGTGCAAATACTTTTTAACGCAAGAGTTTTTGCGTTAGATTATTTGTGCAAGAGAGCGTCTACACTGGCATGTGCCTTTGCGCAAGAGCATCCGTACCAGCGTAGACGCTCTCTTGCGCAAGAAAGCTCAGGGCTTTCTTGCGCGAGAAATTCATGTTGCCTGTCTACACTGGCTTCTTGCGCAAGAACAGTTGCACAAGAGGGCTTTTTTCTGAGCGGGAGCATCATAGTTCTTGTGCAAGAAGCACTGATTTCACACATTAGAACGTCAGTGTTCTTGCGCAAGAACTCGTGGCCAGTGTAGACAGGCAGCATGTTTTTGTGCAAAAGCGGCCGCTTTGGCGCAAGAGTGTGCCAATGTAGACACAGCCCCAATGTTCTAGGATAGCAAAAGAGGTTTGAAAAGGGGTTTAATCTGAACACTATTTATAACACTATATTGATAGGACCTGATGCACATAAGACCTCAATCCCCCATTAAGATCTGCAAACATTCAAGCCTATGTGAAGTCCTATTGTATTTGAACTCACTGGATTCAAAATGGGCATAATGGCTGTACTAGTGGTGTATCCTGAAGTAATATTGGACCTAGTTAATTCACTTTATGCACTGTTAAGAAAGACATAAAAATCTCTCCACCTTCAGAGGTATAAAAAAGAGTGGGTTATATTGTCCCTGCCTTATATATACAAACATCTCAATGAATTCAGTTTAACCAAAAGTGTTTACTCCTGAAAGTAGTAAAAACAAATTGCTTAACAACTAGTAAGGCTCTTAATGTTCAGGTAAAGTAAAAATCAAACAGTGTTTGAATGTTTATTTTATAAAATAAACTGACAGGTATACAATAGTATTTTCTTTCCATTGCATGCACAAATCATTTAGCCACAGCAAACACAATAGTGAACAAATACAAGAGCCACATTTTTTTGGACATCAAACTCAATGCTCAGCAAAATAAGTATTAATTATAAGCAGCACACATTTTATTTTGCACTCTTCTATTTTTAAAAACATAAACTTACATTCTTTGAGAAGTATTGCTTTTTCCCCCAATCAGAATCAGCAGGTGAATGGGCAAACAAAGATTAAAGAAAACCATTTGTTAGTTAGAAGAAATTTAGCGTCTGAGAGAGGGAAGGTAAGTATCTCTGACAGATACATGATCTTCTACAAAGAGAACATTTACCAACATTACCACACAGTAGTAGCTGAAATACTAAAAATGTCCATTGTGTCAGGAAATACTACAGTATCTCAGATTCTACTATACAGGAAACTGCTCTGAAATGTTCACTTTTTAACAGAAACCATGCTATGAGTAACATTGACCTAAAAAGAACATAGAACATTGATTCAAAAGTACTGAGGAGGTAGGACATCAGAATTAATAGAGTGTAATGGCGCTCACACTGCAGCCAAAATCAATCTACTCATTTGATCATTTGGAAGTACAAAGGAAACGCTTAAGGCTACAATAACTCTTACAAAGACAAAAGCTTCTGACTCTATTCCACAGACATGCAATTACTTTCAGTTTGAAAAATAACGGAAAACCACAATTAATCTTCATTGTCATGTGGTATAGAATATGATCTCATCTTCCTTCCAGTTACTTTGCATATGGTCCCATCATAAATAATATTTCAGAGAATGAAAAGACTAAAACTACCTGTTGCTAGCTCTGCTGTTGATCATCCATTGGTCATAATAAGATAAATGAGAACTTTCTAATTATTTTAACCATTATTTAGCAAAACAATAATTTAGCTATAGACATTTGTTTTCTTTGTTAATGGATATTTGTCTGTATCAACTGAAAAGTATCTGCCTTTGTACTATGTGCTCAAACAGAACTATAGAGACAAAGGTAGGAGGGCATACTGCTTCTATTGTTAAAAGCTGGTATGATATAGGGAAGAGATCCACTGGTGCTATCTATTGGGGGCAAGATAATTAATATAAGGAAATGCTTTTACTGACTTTCATGTGCCCAGATACCAATGTGGTGGGCACATTAAAATCATTCAAATAAATGATTATACATTTCAAACTTATGAACAGGTTTGAATTACTTTTCATTTTATTCTGTAAAGTTGAAGATACAGGGAAACAAATTCAATTTACAAATTCTTGTGTTTTGTATCTTGTAATAAAAAACAAATCACAGTGTAGTGGGTTAGTAAAATAGAGCTGTAGGAGCATTTACAAATCAAGTTTCATTTAGCTATATTGATCTTGTAGCAGAAATGAAAGTCATTAGTTTGAAATATTGGGGAAACCTATGAAAAACACAAATGCTTGCAATTTAATATTGTTATTAAAGAACAAAAGCAATTACAGTAGTAGATATATAGATATGTGCATGGAAGATGGTAATTTGGAGATGCTCCATCATAAGATACAGAATTATAAACACAGGACTTTAGTGATGTGCTTTGGAAGCTGGGATTATTGCTTAATGAACCCCATGATCATTTTGTGGTGTCAGAAGTGCTGAATGAGAAGGAAACTCTGCAGTCATTTTAAAGTTAACTCCTGTGTTTGCAACTGAAAGCGGAGGCAAGGGGAATGTGTGGAGCAGCAAACGAAGAAGAACAAAGGCTTTTCTATATATTTTATGAACACAATAGAAGCTTGACTAGCTTAAGAAAGGAAAAGAAACCAAAAAAAAGATGTTGCAACCTCCATTCAGTCTGCAATTGTCAGGCAATGTTGCCGAGAAGTGGAAAACATTCCAGCAGAAATCCGAATTGTATTTAGCAGCTATAAGGCAGAGGAGAAAAATGATAAAGTGAAATCCTCAGTTGCGTTTGCATATTGTTTGTGGAGGAAGCATTGGATATTTATAACAACTTGTAGTTTTAAGAATATGAAAAATCATGAAGTAAAATAAAATACTAACAATTTCAGGAATTTTGCATGCCCAAAGGGAATGAGATCTTTGAGAAAGACACATTTTATATGTATGCAAAAAAACTGATGACATGGTAGAGCAATATATATTATTTTGTATATTTAAGGAAATTCAGTACAACCTGTTACTTTGGTGAGTTGATAGAGTATCTGCTTAGAAGCTGGATAATCTGAGGCATTAAAAACAATATGTTAAAGGAGAGACTTCTCCATGAAGAAGCTTTAACATTAGAAAAAGTTGTCCAAAGGTACACGGCAGCAGAAACTGTGAAAGCAAAAGCCAGAGAGCTGAACTCACCAGAAGGGATTATCCAAGTACTGAATACAAAATAATATAGTCAGAATAGGTCAAATCAAAAAGTGGAACCACTCACTGTAAAAAGCACTGGTAAGAAGAAGAGTGAATACAAATGGTTATGCGGAAGGTGTGAATCACAGCAAGGTCTCAATGTGTAGCTTTTGTGAAATTCTTGCCATAAATCCGGGGAAAATTATTATTTTGCAAAATTCCCCAGATCCCAAATGCAGAAAAGTCAAGTGCGGTCAGTTGAGGTTGAGGAGTTTTCCACAGACAGCAAAGAGACAGCAAAATGCAAATCCCTAACACAAAAAACATCCTCTATCAAATTTTAAGTGCCTACTCCATTGCATGGAGATATTAGATTTTCCTGAAGAAAAAGGTTACCAATTTTTTAATATGAGAAAACAATGCATTTTTCTCTAGGTTTGTTCTTGTAAATGACTGAACTGTTTTGGTTAAAATAAAATTCAGCTGAAATGGTCAAAGTTTGTCAAAGTTATAAACCACTGAAGACAGGGTGTTATATTGTGAAGTTTAGGGGAAACCTTAATAATAGACACTGATACCAGCATTACCTGTCCTATAACAGTCACTTTCAGAAAAGTGTGATAATTATGGAAATGTTCTGTCAGATACTCTCAGGCTAATTATGCAAGCCATTTTATTTGTACATTTTTTTAAAAACATCATAAATTGAATGCAAACAATGATAAAAATGTTTTGATACATAGGTTGCTCCTTCATTCTCAATGTTTGACTTTAGATGTTGTCATTATCTTCCATTATAACATGATTGTTTCAGAAGTTAATACTTACGATCAAGAGGTACTTCCAATGCAGCAATCATCTGGCTCAGAAATAGAATCAAGGAAGCTCTGCTTGCAGGTGTGCTTTTTTTTGTCATCATTATTTTAAAGATGGGTTAGTTAACTTCTGCTGAGAAAAACAAGTCCAACTTTCTTTTCTTCTTACCAAATGAGATGTTGGAATAGTTATGTAAATGTAACCAAGAAGCCTAAAAGGGCAGAGTAAGAGAATAATGATGTTACAACTCTACAGAGATGTCCCATCAGTAGAGAATTAGTTATATTCTCCCATATATTATACTTAGGACTAAGAGTCCAGTATCCTGTCTGCTGACAGTGGCCAATTCTAGATGCCCCTGAGAGAGCGAATACAACTGGAAATCATGAAGTGACCCCTCCCCTGTCATCCATTTCCAGACAAACAGTGGCTAGGGACACCATTCCTACCCATTCTGGCTAATAGCCGTTGATGGACCTAGGCTTAGGTCCATAATCTAGGATTATGTTTATACTTCAAGGTTTCTTTTGGAAAAACGATCGTTTTTTCAAAAAAAACATTCAATTACATCCACACTGCAATCATGTTCTTTCGATAGAAAATTGAAAGAACAGAGGGGTTTTCCCGGGTTTGGTAATCCTCTTTTGGAAAAAGGTGTGTGTTGACGGGGAAGAGGGTTTTCTTTTGAAAGAGGCCTCCAAGAAAAAGCACAGTTGTCCTGGTGACCACTCCATCCAAAGTAATCACAACTCTACAGTTCCTGTCTCCTGGCCCCTCTTAAAGCTGCAGGCACCCTGGACAATCCTTGTGGCAGGAAGTCGGCCCTGGGAGCAGTACCTGACCGTGTGGCTCTCCCTGATACCCAGAATATCAGCAATGGCCGAGCCACAAGCCCCCTGCAACCTCCCTGGTCGTCACAGGGAGCAGCCCCACAGCTCCCAGGACCCACCCAGGAGGACAAGAGGCGGGCACCCTCCTTGTCCAGAGCAGAGATCCTGTCCCTCCTTGAGCTGTGCGGTGAGGAGGAGACATTACAGGATTTCCGTTTCAAGCGGCGTAACACTAACATTTTTGGGCACATGGCCGAGTCTCTGGTGGAGCACAGACACCCAACCCAGGTCTTGGAACAGGTCCAGAGTAAAGTTAAATGGCTCAGCCAGGGATACGTGAGGGCCATAGAGCGCAGCTTGTGTTCTGGGGCAGGACCCCACACCTGTCCTTACTACCATCAGCTGCACCAAATCCTGGGGGGGGGGGGGAAGCCATTGCCCCACCCATCATCATAGACTCTGGCCTCGACACCTGCGGAACGTTATTGTATTGTGTCCCAATGTCAGCCACTTCAAAATAAGACATATCCTTAATTCAGTTCACTGCATCTGGAATGGTTCAATTTCAAATCACCAGTGTTGTATAACAGATTTCCTTTCTCCATAAACATTTTTATCAAATATTTCAAACCAGTATATCCAGCCTATATTTTTCACAAGAAGGTGCATGTAAACAATCTTTCATAGTAAAATTTGGCAGGAACAGCTGGTTCAGGAGAAGCTGTTTAATAGATTTTCAGAAAGATTTTGGATGTGCCAGTAAAACTAAAGTGGCATTTCCTGTATTTTTTGCTGACATGTTTGTTGTGAGTGAGGTCAAACAACAGGCTCTGTGTGTGTGTGTGTGCGTGCGTGTGTGTGATGAACACAGACAAGCAAAATATTATTTTACAACCTAAATGGAAGTATTTTTTAAAAACAGGAAGACATAAATAAGCTTGGAGAACAGGACTAGAATAAGAAATGGCTGCTAGCTATCTGCTTGCTTACCCATCTCATACAGCTGGAAGGGACCTTGAGAGCTCATCATCAAGTCTAGTCCTCTGCCCTCATGGCAGGACCAAGTACCATCCCCAGCAGATTTGTCCCAGATCCCTAAAAGGCCCCCTCAAGGATTGAACTCACAACCCTGGGTTAAGGAGGCCAATGCTCAAGCCACTAAGCTATCCCCCAAAGCTTAAAAAGCTTTGAGAGACTGGGTTGCTTCACTAGGGAAGAAAAAAAAAGAAAATAGCAAACAGTCCCTTTGAAATGTATGAGGGGAGCTGGGAGGAAGAGCACATACAAAGAAGGAGTAAACAAGATGGTAAAAATCTATGCGGACACCTCAACACTTAATAGAGCATGTCTCCATGAAACCAGAGAGATTAAATGCTTCCCATAAATGCTATTGGCATGGGGGAAGCCACATACTACCTCTGATGTAGTCCTAAAGGAATAATGCATCCATGATCTCTTAAGTGCAGTTGGTGCCCACCTTTTTAGGAGAATGTCTGGTGTGTGCCATCCATTGCTAGCTGGTGGCATGGTCCCTAATAATCAGGACATCATAATTTTGATGTACAAATATGCACATGACCTCACAAATACAGCCCAGCCTATTTACACCGTTCTAGAGTTGTCACGTTAATGTCAAATAGGAGGTTGGAAATTTGAACAACTAAGATGCTGCAATAAAGGAATAATCACAAAAAAACTGTAGGAAAAAAGTGCAATCTATTTACATATGCTCATGAATACTGGAGATCCAGCTCAGACACTAAAAAGCCAAGTAATATTGTACATAAACTGATAGTACATCAAACTCTTTCCTTCCCTCCTAGGTCTAATATTTGTATTCTTTAAGTAGACAAACATATGAATATTTTATAATAAAGGGCAAGGAACCTTTTTTCAGGGAAATTCATCTGTTTTGAGCAACCGCATACAGTATCCCAGGGAAACAATGAAGAAAAACATTTCCACATAGGGGAAAGAAGAATTAATAAAGAGAAGCATTCAATGATTTGCACTGAAAAAGCTTGTATACTATAAATATTCATCTTATGGCACACAAAGTTCTTTCCATAAAAACACGTAATCAAAATATTCTATTTTTTGTGATTATAGCAACTCCTTTATCAGTCAAGTCAAGATCTTTGATACAGCTAAAATTAAATATTCAAATTAGAAACAGTTATTATAATTCAAAATCTTAAAAGCTACCACAGTCTGATTACTATTGAAGCCATTATTGATTCTCAGGAATAGTAATAATGCCATCTAGACATCATATATATTTTTATTGACGGCAGTGTGGTTCCACTGGCTGGGGACTCAGGAGGAGACCTGCCTGTAACTCAGTGAATGACTTTGGATGAGCCACTTCACCTCCCTGAGCCTCTGTTTATTGTCTCATCTTTTGTTGATCTTAGCAATTTAGATATAAACATTCTCGGGCAGGAACTGTGACTCTCTGTGTGTTAGTACAATACCTAGCTCAATCAAGACCCAGTCTTAGCTGAGGCCTCTAAATATTACTACATGCATACTATAATATATATATATAAGATAAAAGCTGCATAACTTCCTATGAGTCATACAAAAATTCATGCATTCCTAGAACTTTGGAAAGCACTACTATGCTACCTCCAAATAGCATTTTCTATATTTTAACAATAGTTAAAATGGCACAATTAACATTAATAGAATAAACATAATTCACAAAATATCATGCAATGAAAAAAACCACTGCAGGATGTACATGTGTGTGTTGAAGTCTCAGGAAAACAGCCCAGTTCATAATGAACAAGTCACAAAATATACATGAACATTTCACTTACCACTTCCTTCACAGTAACGATGGCTTTAGACTGCAAGTTCTTTGAGGCAGGGTCTGTCATTTACTATAGATTTGTACAGTCTCAAGCACAACAGATCCCTGATCTGCCTGCTTCTATGGGCTGCCACAATATAAGGGTAAAATAATTAAAAAAGTAAACTAGTGTTTATATGCCCAGTCTGTTTTTGTTCTGTATCACTCTGTTGTAAATGACAACTCTGATTGCAACAATTTAATTTACTCTCTTCTCCATGGGCTCCTCCTGTAATAGGCTGAGCACTCTGGACTAATACAATGGAGTTGTACTTAGGAGCAGGGCTTCCAATTGCCTGGAGTCAATTTTAGGCTGAGGTTGTATCAGCATAACTGTGTTTCAAGACAAGGCTTAGGAAGCTCAAGGTGGCTTTTGCAGAATTTCCAGTACGCTTCCCTTTCTCATATGGGCATTTCTGCATGGAGTTGGAGACCGGGGGAATCAAGTGGGCCTTAGGTTTAAAAACAAAAGAAGAATATCAGCTCCTATATATATGAATACTCCTCACTGAGAGATCATGGGCAATTGGTATCAGGAGCCAAAAGTTTTTAGTTCATTTGTATTTCCGGTCTCCTCAAGAGCCTGTGCCATTCTACTCTGAAAAGAGGCAATCCTAAATATTGCACCTTCTTATTCAGTAGCTTTGTACCATCACCCATCTGTCCAGTTATTCACATCTGCTGAAGTTTCTGATAAAAGTAATGCAGCTTTTTACTTTGGCTAGTTCTGCAGTGTTTGTGGAACTAAAAAAAATATGGTATTTCTTGTGTGTTAAGAAGAGTTTACAAGGCTGGCAGTTAGAAAAACAATATTTTTACTTGTAAATTAAGCACACTTACGATCAGAGAATTACTGAAGACTAGGGTCAGAAGAGATCTCAGGAGGTCATCTAGATCTGTTTTTTCTTAAATTTTTTGAGACTACGGAACACCTAACAATAATATTTTTATGAGGAACACCTATGAACATTTTCTTCAAAAAAAATTGTTGACAGACAAAAAAAGACAAAAACAAAGAAGAGGTCGCAGCACACCTGAGAGTTGTTCACGGAACACCAGTGTTCTGTGGAACATAGTTTAAGAAACACTGATCTAGATGGCTTGTTCTAAAGGTCATTAAGATATAATATATAGGCATCCCCATAATACTATAGTTTCATTCATTTTTGGACTAGTAGTAAAATCTTCAAAAAACACCTGAGCACTTATGGCCAGATTCACAAAGATGATGGTGAGAAAAGAAGGGGGAAGGAGAGTGAGATGAAGTTCTGATTGGCTTTCAGTGAGGCAGACAGCCAATCAGACTGTGATTTCCACTTTGCCCTCCTTCTCAGTCCTACTCTACAGAACTCAAATTTGCTATCTTAACCTTGCTTTGAGCAACGGACTGGAATGCATGCATCATATTTGCAAGCAGGGATGCCAACAGGTGTGTGAGGCAAAGGAGACAGCTGCCCCAGGGCCTGGCAATTTTAAAGGACCTGGCGTTCAGGGCCACCAACACTGCTACCATGGCAACAGCAGCCA